GTGCGCCACCATGCCTAGACTAAAGAAGAGAATTTTTAAAAGATACCTCAAAGCAGATGAAATGGGCTTTGTTATTTACTCTAAAAAAACTGATTCCTTAGACCACAGACTTATTTCTGTGATTTCTGAGTTAGCATCCGTCTTTCTAGACTGTGCGGTGCACGGGGCAGGCACTGCGTGTCTGCTCACCACTGCACCCCAAGCTGAGTTCCACGCTCCGGTGTCTGTGAGCGAGACCTCACTACAGAGCCAAGTGCAGAGTGAGGGGTTACAGCACTCGGGAGGCTGAGGCAGGAGGATTGTTGTGAGTTCAAGACCAGCCTGGGCTACGAAGTGAGCTCAAGGCCAGCCTGAACTGCATAGTGAGACCATGTCTCAAACAAACAAACAAACAAACAAACAAAAAGAATGAGGGGTTAAGTGAAGAAGGAAGAATCAAAGTGACACGCAGGTTTACAGCTTAGATAACAGCAGGGAGAAATAAGCGTGGCCGGGGTACACCGGGAGGTCCCCGGAAATATGACATCGAAGCGTCTCTGAATATTTAGGCCATGGCTAGCTGGCAGCTGGAAACTGTCTTAAACTTTAGGCGGGTTCGGGGTCTGGGAGAGAGCCTGTCAACTATACGATGGAACCCTGCCCTCCCCACTTAGAAGGTGGATTAGGGCTCAGGGACTCACCCGGACCTCGGCTTCCCGGGGTCTCCCGTTGAGGTCACACTTGGAGCCGTTGCCGTAGGTCTGGCTGTGGTAGCGCTTCAGGCGATGCTGCTTGGAGGCCTAGAGAGGACACCGGGTGGGGAGGGCAGCACGGCAGACAGTGAGGGCGACAACGGCGCTGCACCCCCACGCGGACCTTGTGACCGTGGAGGCCAGGCCACAGGGGAATCTATACCGATGGCCACCAAGCCCCAAGACACACATCAGGTAACCCCAACCCCCCTGCTTGGCCGGTCTCTCAGTCTGCAGCCAGACCCCTCCTCACTCTCCCCACGCCCCACTACTGCCACCTTGGCTGTTTCATCATCCCAGTCGAAGGCTGATTGGTAGTAGCCGAGATACAGGATGTCACCTTTGATCTCTGAATCTGCAAGAGACATCAGAGTGAAGCACATTATTTTCTTTTCAGAGGGATAGGAGGCGAGGCGGCAGGCTGTGACAGACCACTGGGGGGTTTAGGGAAAAGGTACGAGTAAGTCACCTTCCATGTGATACTGCTGGATGTGGCGTCCATAACAGAATTGATATGTCCACCAGTCCTTGGTCTGACAATTAAAAAATGAACAATCAGAGGGACAGACCGCAGGCTCTTAGAACCGAGTCTTTCGGCTTCAAGACACACAATCTGTCATCTACGTCTCCTCTCCTCCTACATTCACTCTCCAGATACTGCGTGAGCAGGGACAGCTGTTTTCCACTCCGTGGCTGGAGATGTACCTCTAAAGTCTGTCTTCCACCTGTGGTCTTTCCATTCTCCCCTTTAAAAGATATTTTAAAGGGGCTGGGGATTTAGCTCAGCGGCAAAAGCGCCTGCCTGGCAAGCGCAAGGTCGTGAGTTCGGTTCCCGGTACCGGAGAAAAACCAAAAAAACAAACAAACAAAAAAAAAGATATTTTAAAAAATCTTTTTCTGCCCTCCATAAAGGTAAGAAATCATGGTATCCTCGTAGCACTCAGACCGAGGGAACAGACAAGACCTCAAAATCAGATATTAATTGAACTTCTGCAACATCCCTTGCACTGTTCTAGTCACTGGGATACAGCTTTTTTTTTTTT